ATATTCAAAAATATTATTAAAATATTTACAAACAAATAAAGGAGATTTAGAAGGGGTTAAAAGATATTCTGATTTAATGTTTTTATTTAATGCTATTTTGGCTACTACAAAGGCGGAAAGGGAAATGAATATATTTAAGGTACATATATTATAAAATAATTAAACTAACTTTTGTTTTAAATACCCAATGCCTAGGCAATTTTAATCCTTAACTGTTTGGGACCGAAACAAAAGGCTTAATATATCACAATTCGTGGTCCTTCAAAGCTTTTGTCTGAAAAAATTTGGAGTTTCGTGCAGGTCTATTCCGAATAGGTCCGCATAACATAAATAATCATTTTAATTAAATTATAACAGTAAAAATTGAAGCTAAAACCGGATCTATCCAATGAAAATAATTTAAAAAAATATTTATTATTTATTTATTCCAAATAATCGAAAAATATATTTTTTATTTAATGTAAACATTTACTAAATATTAATAAAAAATAAATTTTGTATTTAATTAATAATTTACAGGAATTAATAGAAAAACAATTTAAAAATGAAGAAATGGAAGAAGAAGGACAAAATTTAGCTCCTTTTGTTTGTAGTTGTTTAGAAATAAAAGATTAAACGGGTCAAGGAACTCATGTAATTTTTTGAAAATTCAGAATTTTTCGGATTTTTTTTAAATTGACTTTTAAAGTATTCTAATTTTTTTAATTCTTATTTTTTAAAAATGCAATTTCAGATATTTCAAAAAATTCCTATTTTTAAAATGTTTCAATGATTTGTCTTCCTTGATTTGTCTTTTCCTTGGGTTAGCCCGACACGATTTTTAACAATTAAATTATTTATTTATTTTTCTTTTCTTTTCTTTTTCCAATTTTTGTTTAATTATTATTAATTTATTTTCTTCTTTAGAAATACAATAATTATTTGATTGACATTTAAATAATTTACTAAACAAATATTTTTTTGTTTTTTGTTTTTTCCACAAACAATTTTTATTATTTAAACATAATTCCTCTGTTTTTAAATATAAACATTTATTTTTATTTATTTCTTTTAATTCTTTTATTTTTAAACAATAATTGGTTGAAATTAAATAAAAAATTAAAATAAATATTATTTTAATTAAAATATTTTTTAGATAGGGCATTTTTTAATTTAATTAATATTTTTAAATTAAAAATCTTTTAAAGTAAATTAAAAAATTAAAATACTTTTTTTCTTAATGTCTATTTAAAAATTTTTTTAATATTTCTTAATGTCTGTCTATTTATATTTAAAAAGTGCATTTATTGAAAAACATGTGAATCTTTTTATTTTTAAATTTATTTAAATTATTTCTCAATATAAATTTTTAAAAATTTTAGAAATACATATATTGAAAATTTGGGAATAAAAAATAAAAATGGAAATTGAGAGTTATTTTCGTATACCCCCCCCCCCCCAATTGAATATTCTTTCTCAATTCTTATTTTATCTAAACCAAAACATCCAAGTAGATTTTAATTCTGTATTGAAGTTACTTCTCAATTAAAATTACACAAACAAAAAACTTTCCACTTAATTTAATTTCAAAAATTTCAATTCAAACATTGTATTTAAGTGATTTTTAAATATCAATAACATTTATCGATAAAATTTTGATTAAAAATTTCTAAACAACTAAAACCATTGTTGAGGTAGAAAAAAACAATCCACAATTAGCTTGGGTTTTTATAAATATAATTATTGGACTTGTGTAGTTTCCATCCCATAAGCCACGCCCCTTTCATTCTCTAAAAGGACGCAGAAAAATGATTGATTTCTTTCTGCAATTTATATTTTTTTAAGTTTTAAACACTAAAATTTATTTAAAAAAATTTAAAAAACAGGTTATTTAAATATTTTTTTTATATTCTTTCTTTATAAAATTTGTTCTTCTCGTATTTGATTATAACAATTATTTAAATTAAAAATATTTTTTGGTGTAGAATCATTTATTTTACGTCTTTGCTGTATTTTTGTTTTTATAAAAATAAATAAAGAAATTAATGAAAGTATTGAAAATATTATAAAAATTAATAAAACATAAATTGGAGAAGTTGTTTGTTGATAATACATTTTCTCCTTTTAATTTAGAAAAAACATTTAGTAGTAAATTCTAAATAAAAATTAAAGTAATATTTAGAGTTTATAAGAAAATTATAACCACGAATTATTTATAATTATTTTAGATTTTAGATTTTAAATATTCCAAAAATTATACAAAAATTTCTGTAAACATTTCTATATATTGATTATGAAAATAAACGAGATTTTATAATTAAATACTTGCTTCAAATCAATCACTAAAAATAAAATACGTCAAAAATATTTTTATATAAATTAAAATTTAAAAAAATTTTTGTTTTAAATTTTTTAGAAAAAAATATTTTAATTTCTCAATTTTATTTAAATTAAAAGAGAATAAGGGATTTTTTATTTAAAAGTTAATTCGATTTAATTTAATTTTAGAAATTTATAAAAATTAATTTACTTTAAAAAATAAATATTTAAATGAATTATTTTAAAATAAAAGTATTTTTTATAAAAGTTTGTGAAGTTTGAAAAATGAAAAAAAGGGAAGTAAATAAATAAAAATATTAAATAATTTTAAAGAATTAATTCTTCGATTTTTTACCTTTTTTCCACTTAAATTCTTATTGCCCTTTTTACTTTTATTTTTTTCTCTTTTTTTTAAATTCATTGCTTTGACAAGAAATGAAATACTTTTTTTATTTTTAAATGTCTAAGTTTTGTCATTTTAACTTTTTTTATGTTTGTTTACTTTTTTTTGAAATAATTATTTTTAAAAAAAAAAAGTTGAAAATTTAAATGAGGAAAAATAAATATAATTTTTAAAATTATTTTTGTTAAAAATAAAAAAAAATTAAATTAAAAATAAATTAGAGAAGCAAAAAAGGAAACAAATTTGCTTCATTTATCAATTTAAGAAATTATATTTATCCTAAAAATTAAAAAATTAATGTGTGTGTAAATATATTTATTAAATAAATATTATTTTAAATTATGGAAATTTTTGAGTTCGAATTGCTAAGAAAAGGTAATAAATTTACACATTACATACGAGAGAATTTAAAGAAAAATTACAAATTATAGCAGAATTTGTGTTAAGAATTACGAAAAAAAACTTACCATTTTAGAAGAAACTCTGATAGATAAACAAAATGAATAATACTATGTATGTATTATTCTTAGTCGTTAAATAATTTATTATTAGTACATTGTGTGGCAAATTTGCCGCGCGTTTTGTTTTTGCCATTACTCACCCATCTTTGTCCAACCAAATTATTTAAACTCTCCACCCAAGTAAATTAAGGAGGATATTAACTAAACACAAAAACAATTAAACAGCAAATTCTTTTACAAATAGAACTTTTATTTATTTAAAAAAATTTTTTCATAATTTATTTCATAAAAATATTCTGGAATAAAATTGTCTGGGCACTTCTACTCTCAACTACTAAAAGCCCGTCCATACAGCTAGAGCAGTACATAAACTGTTTTTCATGAATGTTTATTTGATCGAATCTTCATTTAAATCATTCAATCTGAGACTTTGATAACATCTACTTATCTCGATACCATTAAGCTAAATTAATCCATAAGTAACCACAGAAGCTCCAAAAATGAACGTAACTATTACTAAAGTTTTAATAAAAAATTTAACATTTCTTTAAAATAATTTCTTTCAAATATTGAATGTTTCAATTAAATATTAACACAATTTTTTGAATATTTTTACTTCTTTTATTAAATCAGAGATTCTTTATAAAAAACAAATACAGGGTGCGGCAAATTTTCCGCCCCTTTTGTTTTTGCCATAACTTTTTTCAAAGTCAATGAAAATTGATAATTCTTTTTTTATTTTATTCGCAACACTCTAAGAAAATTTTTGGTAGCAAAATATTCTCAAATTTTTTAAAATTACTTTGATTATTTTGTCTTAAACTTTTGGCAAAATTTTTTGGACCAAAAGTCGTCTGATTTAAATGCAGTCTGTCTGATATGGGGGAAGTTTATTTCATTCGAATAAGCTTTTTAAGCTGATTCGAATAACGTCAAAACAAAGCGATTATCTTGTTCTTGAGCTGAGATATGGGCCTTTGAATGATAAATTAGGAAATAATGACTTTTTTAGGTGAAATTTTCAAAATTCTAATTATAGACTATTTCGATGCTCCTCGTCGAGACAAGTCGATTGGTACCAAAATTAGTCAGATTGGGTGACTTTGAGCGAAGTTATGGCAAAGTAAACTTTGTCATGAAAAAATATTTCTTGATGCAATTTATAGACATTTTCGGGCATATCTTTATTGTCTATAAACCAAATTTCTAATATTCGGTACCAAAAATTTTCTTAGAGTGTTGGGAATAAAATAAAAAAAGAATTATCAATTTTCATTGACTTTGAAATAAGTTATGGCAAAAACAAAAGGGGCGGAAAATTTGCCGCACCCTGTATTTGTTTTTAATTTTTATTTAATTTAAACTTCTCCACTAATTTACAACTGTTTAAAAACTTTTAAAAAATACTTAAATAAATCAATATATCCCTATTTTCCCTTAATATTATTTAGCAGCCGCTTTTGTGGCTAATCTAAAAAAGAGAAACTTGTGTCTAGAGGATTTAAACTAAAATAAAAATTTTTATTAGAATGTTTTTGATTTTGTCTTAAATTACAAACTAATCAATTAAATATAAATTTACATGAAACAATCCTTGGGATCAAAGAATTACAAACAGAGAAGGGGTATTTGGACATGTTACGGGTATTTGGGCTCAGTTTATTTAATGACGAGCTTTTCCTTAAAATTTAAATAAAAATAAACATCTTCTTCCTTTTTTGCTTATTTAATCACATAATAATTTTAAAAATCTGAATAGAATTTCTCGATTTTTTTAAACAAACTTTCAATACTTTATACACATAAATTTTTAGAAAAACTTTCCCCTTATTTTTAAAATGATTTTATTTCAATCACCATCTATACTATTATTATTATTTTTTCTTTTATTTTTTTCTTTATTTTCTGTTAATTCTAAAAAAATTAAAAATCATTACAAAACAACGGCAGCAGAAGATCCAATACCGGCACAGGAAATTAATACAAAACAATTAAATAAACAAATAAAATCTTCTAATATTTTACAAAAAGTAGGGGAAAATAAAAAAAATAAAAATAAATATTTATTTAAAGACTAATTTTTCCTATAATTTTTAATTTTATTTTATATTTAAAACTTTGGGGGAAAATAAAAACTAATTTAAAATCACCCACCCCCCCCCCTTCCAACAGAAATTTTTTTAAATTTTCAAAATTTTCTAAAGCAACCCAACCGACAACCCCCATCACCATCTTCCCATTCCCCTTCCCAAACAGAACAACAACATGAATTTTCTATAGAGGATGTGGATGAAGAACAAATTGATGAAATTTTAAGGGATACTTCCAAAAATCTTGTTATATTTTTTTGTAAATAATTTTTATTCAAATTTAATTTAAAAAAATATTTAAAAAAAGATGATGGAAGATTAAAATGCCCAGAATGTAGTGTTGCCCTCTCAGAGATTGAAGAAATTGATGATGATATTGAAGTAATTAAATTAAATTTTTTATAAAAATTTAATTTATTTAAAGGCTACTGGATATATTGAAGTAAGTATTGTTGTGAATTTTAAATTAAATTCGAAAAAAGGTTGTAAAAACTGATGACAGAAGGGTGGCTCGTGAATGTGGAGTAAATACATTTCCGGCATTGGTATATTACAGACGTAGCAGTCCAATTCTTTATGATGGAGATTTTAAAGATTCTGAAAAAGTTTTACGTTGGTTACGGGCACACGACGAAGTGGCTACTTGGTAAGGAATTTTTTGGGAGGGGGGGGGGGGTTTGCTTGAAATTTTGGGGGTTTATTGTTAGTTTATTAATAGTAGCCTTTTTTTAATTTAAAATAGGGACTTGAATGACGATAACTTTGAATGGAGAACACATTCCCATTCACCTCCAGAAGGAGCTCTTCAATGGCTTGTTATGTTCTATGATTCTGAAGAATCTGATTGTAATGCTTTTGTTCCAATGTTTGAAACAGTTGCCCATAAGTTAATTGAAAATAACTTAAAAATAATTTTTATTTAAATTTATTAGACTTCGCGGTCTAATAAATGTTGGAAAAGTGGACACTTCTCTTAGTGACGATGTTACAGAACGTTTTAGAATTGATGAAAGTCAATGTCCAACGATTTTATTTTGAGTTTTTTCTACTTAAAAAAAATATTTTTTCTAATTTCTTTTCAGATTTCACAGAGGAAAATTTTTTCGTTATAACGAGGCGGCAAAGGACGTTAATGGAGTTGTCTCCTTTGCAATGTATAAATTCAAGGAACAACGCGGGCATCGAGTACCGGAGCCACCAACTGCTTTGGAACATTTTTACGAACATTTCAAAGAGCGACTAACTGATGCTATTGTATGTCTAAAGTTTTGAAGTTTTACTTAGGTTTCACTAAAAATTTGTACTCATAGAGGGCATTGGTTATATTAATTTCAATTTAAATTATTTTGTAAAATATTTTCCTTTTTCCTAATTTTTAATTTAAAGGAAGATAATCAAAAGTTGACGGCAATCTGTGTAGGAGGGGCCATTTTAATTGTTAGCATTTGTCTCGCATTTAAAGCATATCGGATACGTTCAGAGCAGCAATCGACTATTTCAACTAGCAGTAGAAGAGCAACAAATACACAATAAATAATTAATTAGTAATTAGTTTTTTAAATATTATTTAGTCTTGAATCCCGTTATTTTTATTGGTTTCTCAATTTTTAAAATAAATTTTTATTTTGCCATTCTTATTTCTAGCAAATATAAAAATTACTAAACAATTTATTATTAGGTATACTTTTTTCAGATTACTTTATTAATATAATTAATCTTTTAATATTAATTAATTAATTATGTTTCTGATTTAATTATTACTCGTCCCTCTTTATTCTTCTTCCTCTTCTTCTTCTGCTCTCCAAATATCAGCTTTTATTGTAGTGTTACTTGATGATTTAATTTCTTCGTTCTAAATAAATTTATAAAAATAATTTTTTTTAATATAAAATTATTTTATTAAAAGAAATTTTTGTGTCTCGAAGAGTTCTTTCGAATGATGTATAATAAATTATCAAGTAAATATACTCAAAATGGTTATGGAAATAGGGAAAAAAGGAGGGTCAGCCAAATTATTACCAAATTTTTTTTAATTTTTAATTCCAAACAAACATTATTTCCCTCATCATTTTCTCCATTTTCTTTTCTCTCCTTCTCCTCCAATTCCCTCATACGACGATTTGCCTCCTCTTGCATTTTTTCCAATTTTTCCAAAGTAACTGACTTTAATGGACAAATTTTGGGTTTGCAATAAGCTGGCAATAAAGATTCTTGTTCAAATACATAACCATTAGGTGGCCATAATAATTCTTTTGGCTCTTGTTCATGTTGAGGTTGCTGGTAATTATTTGAAATATTTTCATTCATTTTTTTGGAGATTTTAATTAAAATAAAATTGTAAATTAATTAATAAAAAATAAAAGAATATTCTTCTTAAATTTTAAATAATATTTAATTAAAAAATTTAAGAAAAAGTCATCACTCTGCACAAAAACCACAAAAAACACATTTTTTTAAATTGTTTCTATCATTAAAAATTTTTTGCATCTACCATTTTTCCTTAGCAACCAAACAAAAAAATAATTTTATATGTTTAGCGCCTACCCGACCAGACCTGGGCGAAACTCAAAATTTTTTTCTGACGAAACGAAACGAAACAAAATTTTTTAAAAATCGTTTCGTTAACGAAACGAAACGAAACAACCTAAATCTTACGAAACGAAACGAAACAAAACGAAACATTTTAATATTCAAAAAATTTTCAAAACTGCATTTATTTCGCAATTATTCGACCTCAAATACTTTATTAGTCGCCTATGACTTATAAATGATTTAGTTATTGGTTTATTTACAACAATTGTGTCCCATAAGCCAGGCCCCATAAGCCAGGCCCGTCTCCATATCTCCATTTCGAGAGGAAGGCGATATAAGCTAGTGCTTCGCCGGAAGTTCCGGTTCCAGTATTTCCGCAACTCGCAATCCGCAATTTTTAAATTATGATGCGAGTCCGGTAATAGAATTTGTCGTCGATTAAGTAATATGTATATGTGAATTAGGGAGTGGAGTATAAACGGATTTGTAGTATATAAGTAATTGATATCTTCCTTTTTCAGCGCCGCAGGCGAAAATTTTGACAATTTGGGAAAGCAAGAAGCCGAAATTCTTTTTTTTCAGCGCCGCAGGCGAAAATTTTTTAAATTTTCAATAAAAGATGGTAAATTTTATAGATTTTGGCCTTAGTTTAGGCTTAAAAAATTGTTTCGTTTCGTTGAAAAATCACAGGTGTTTCGTAACGAAACGAAACGAAACAAATTTAAAAGTGTTTCGTAACGAAACGAGACGAAACAGTAAAAATCATACGAAACATACGAAACAACGAAACGAAACGAAACGTTTCGCCCACGTCTGTACCCGACTTTTGTGAACCCGACATTTAAAAATATTGAACATACTACTAACTTTCTTTTGTCATGAATAGCAAGGTATTTTTAATTCAAAGAAAGCCTAAAAATTGCTTAATTTTTAAAACAAGAAACATCAAAATCTGTCAAATCTTGAAAAAATACGGCCAAATTATTTTTAATTAATTATCATAATTTTGATTATTTTGTGAATAATAACATATTATTAGCTTGTTTTTTAATGAAATTACTAACTTACCTATTTTTATTTTTCTTTTTGGATTCAATATTTTTATCAAATTTTATTTTTAATTTAATGGACTTTGGGAATATTAGTAGATTAGTTAACTGTATATAAAAATTTCGAAAGGATTGAAAAAATTTTAGGTGGGTTATAATTTTGAAAGAGTCCGAAAATTAATTAAAAATTTTAAAAATAAAGTTTTCGACGTTCTTTGACTTATTTTGTTCTATTTTTCTTTCAGTTAAATTATCATTTCCATATTTATGCATTCTTAAAAAAATTTTTTAACGAGTAGTTAAATGAAAATAAAAATGTATTTTTAAATGAATTTTGGAAAATTTAAATTTTTATGACCCAGGAACGGAAACAAGAAATTCCCTTCCACGGTTTCATCCCGGCCTTTTCAAAAAATCCGAAAAAAAAGGACCGGGAAAGTGAACTGGATCACGACAACACTCCAAATAACTTTATAAAATTTAAATTTTACCAAAAATAAAAATTATTTATTTATTTGGCGTTATGCTCTTTATATTGATTTTACGTCTCTACCTCTCCGTTTTGCGCTTTCTCTCTTTGATGTTTTTTCTTTTGCTAAAAGCGGTTGTTGCTCTTTGCGTCAGACAACAATTTTCAGCATTTTTACTTGACAAGTTTTAACTTCTTAAATTTTATTTAAGCTTTTCTTAAATAATTTTTTTATTTAAGCTTTTCTTATTTTTAATTATTTTTTTAATATATGTACATTAAATTCTCATGCACTTGACTTTTTTTTCTTTTTTACATATTTTTTATTCTTTTATTTTCCAGGCTGTTTATGCTCTTAACGTTTTTTCTCATTGCTTTTTCTTTCCTTTTCTTGCGCATTTTTTATTTTTTAAGGAAATAAATTGCTTCAATCCCCATGCCGGGTTCGGGGATTGAAGCGAAATTTGTTTGAAAATTGTAAAAATAGGTTGTGAATAAATAGGAAAAGAATAATAATCTCGATAATCTAATCTCGATTTTCCCCAAAATTTTTAGGGAGCTCGTAAAGACTAGTTGTATACTACTATGATGAAGTCTCAACCGGGGGAGAGAATTTTCTTTCTTTGACGGCTGTCCATTAAAAAGCACATGCCCCTTGTATCTATTCTAAAGCTTTTATAGAGAGGCAGAATGGACAACAACTGTGTTTCTTTTTTTATTTCCCTCATCATTTTCTCCATTTTCTTTTCTCTCCTTCTCCTCCAATTCCCTCATACGACGATTTGCCTCCTCTTGCATTTTTTCCAATTTTTCCAAAGTAACTGACTTTAATGGACAAATTTTGGGTTTGCAATAAGCTGGCAATAAAGATTCTTGTTCAAATACATAACCATTAGGTGGCCATAATAATTCTTTTGGCTCTTGTTCATGTTGAGGTTGCTGGTAATTATTTGAAATATTTTCATTCATTTTTTTGGAGATTTTAATTAAAATAAAATTGTAAATTAATTAATAAAAAATAAAAGAATATTCTTCTTAAATTTTAAATAATATTTAATTAAAAAATTTAAGAAAAAGTCATCACTCTGCACAAAAACCACAAAAAACACATTTTTTTAAATTGTTTCTATCATTAAAAATTTTTTGCATCTACCATTTTTCCTTAGCAACCAAACAAAAAAATAATTTTATATGTTTAGCGCCTACCCGACCAGACCTGGGCGAAACTCAAAATTTTTTTCTGACGAAACGAAACGAAACAAAATTTTTTAAAAATCGTTTCGTTAACGAAACGAAACGAAACAACCTAAATCTTACGAAACGAAACGAAACAAAACGAAACATTTTAATATTCAAAAAATTTTCAAAACTGCATTTATTTCGCAATTATTCGACCTCAAATACTTTATTAGTCGCCTATGACTTATAAATGATTTAGTTATTGGTTTATTTACAACAATTGTGTCCCATAAGCCAGGCCCCATAAGCCAGGCCCGTCTCCATATCTCCATTTCGAGAGGAAGGCGATATAAGCTAGTGCTTCGCCGGAAGTTCCGGTTCCAGTATTTCCGCAACTCGCAATCCGCAATTTTTAAATTATGATGCGAGTCCGGTAATAGAATTTGTCGTCGATTAAGTAATATGTATATGTGAATTAGGGAGTGGAGTATAAACGGATTTGTAGTATATAAGTAATTGATATCTTCCTTTTTCAGCGCCGCAGGCGAAAATTTTGACAATTTGGGAAAGCAAGAAGCCGAAATTCTTTTTTTTCAGCGCCGCAGGCGAAAATTTTTTAAATTTTCAATAAAAGATGGTAAATTTTATAGATTTTGGCCTTAGTTTAGGCTTAAAAAATTGTTTCGTTTCGTTGAAAAATCACAGGTGTTTCGTAACGAAACGAAACGAAACAAATTTAAAAGTGTTTCGTAACGAAACGAGACGAAACAGTAAAAATCATACGAAACATACGAAACAACGAAACGAAACGAAACGTTTCGCCCACGTCTGTACCCGACTTTTGTGAACCCGACATTTAAAAATATTGAACATACTACTAACTTTCTTTTGTCATGAATAGCAAGGTATTTTTAATTCAAAGAAAGCCTAAAAATTGCTTAATTTTTAAAACAAGAAACATCAAAATCTGTCAAATCTTGAAAAAATACGGCCAAATTATTTTTAATTAATTATCATAATTTTGATTATTTTGTGAATAATAACATATTATTAGCTTGTTTTTTAATGAAATTACTAACTTACCTATTTTTATTTTTCTTTTTGGATTCAATATTTTTATCAAATTTTATTTTTAATTTAATGGACTTTGGGAATATTAGTAGATTAGTTAACTGTATATAAAAATTTCGAAAGGATTGAAAAAATTTTAGGTGGGTTATAATTTTGAAAGAGTCCGAAAATTAATTAAAAATTTTAAAAATAAAGTTTTCGACGTTCTTTGACTTATTTTGTTCTATTTTTCT